AAAGCGGGTTTCTCATCCCAAGATGGTCTTGGAACCCCTTCAACGGTTCAAGGAGCCCGGCAAAAGGGGATTGAAGGATACATCCAAGACCCTTCTGGGTGGATCGACTCAACACATCGGCTGATGCTCTCCGGGACTCTGGTCGCGTATTGCAACCGGCTCTCTCACGACTTCCGTGCGCTTCGAACCAGGCGATTTGTCATGAAGCCCGGAGCCTTTGGCTACCCTTTTCGGGGGGCAAGTGGTTCTCATAAGCACAACTACCTGGACCTTCAAGAACTACACCAAGCAAATGGGATTGCAACCCGAAAGTGGTCCAGGTATGTCCAGGTGCATCTGGTTTTTCGCGCCAAACAACTATAGTTTGCCGTCTGCTTGCAAGCGTCACTCACTGGGCAGCAAAAGGACTCCGGTTGGAACTTGCCGAAGCCTTCGGCTGACTTGGGCGTTCCAGACCAACTTTATGACTCACGCTGGGCAGCTGCAACCCAACATGGCTGGTGTCCCTCGCAATTCCAGCTATCTGCCTGGACCCTAAACGGAGGTCGCTTTTCTCAGCCAAAACAAAAACACATGGCATCCTTTTGCTGACTGGGAACCCGCACTCTTTTTGTTGCAGGCTTTCAGGAACATCCCACGTATTTGGTCCTAGAAACCCTTGTTAAGATAGAAATTCAAGTGGGACCTAAAAAAAAGAGGCCCGATCACAGTAGAACCTCGCAAAGTTGGATCGGGGGTGCGACCTCAAAGAACCTGAAACTTCCCTAGATGGGACATGTTCTTATATTCACAGGTCTTCGTTAATGTTAACCCCGGATGAAGTCAAACTCCTGGTTGATTAATATGGGGGTGTCCCCTTTTAGTGGGGATTCATCACTTTTGGCGGGAACACCCCCCTAATAATGGGACGGGGTTATTAATCCTGGGTCAACATTAATCCGGGTCATATGTTGGAGCCGCTACTTGAATCAAGTCCAGACACTGCTGTGCTCAACTCGGTCAAAGTCCGGTCTCGTAACGCTGGGGCATGTTGCACCCAGCTTGTGTTATACAACCGAATTACCGACTGTGCCACGAACGATCCTCTACACAATCCACGCTCGCTATCGAAGCGGTAAGAAGTTTGCCAAGACCATTGGGACCTATGCACCCATGCAATCGAATTCAAATAAGTTGGCGGGCAGTGGTGCATTGATCCGACCTGGAATCCGTGTTTCCACATCTTACCTGTTTTCACCGTGGGCAGGCGGGAACTATAACAAATGGATAACACATGTGTCAACAACAATACAATGTTGTGATTGTGTGTGTGTATGTTTGCTTGCTTGCTTGCTTGATGTATTGATTTCTTGCTTTCTTGCTTTCTTGCTTTGTTTGTTTGATTGGTTGATTGTTTGTTTGATTGTTTGTTTGCTTGTTTGCTTGCTTGCTTGTTTGCTTGTTTGGTTGATTGTTTGCTTGCTTGATTTGTTGTTTGTCTGTGTGTTTCTGGTGGAGGCCACTGTTTGGGCGCGTCTTTGAACAAGGAGGAGCGAAAAGAAAGCCAGCCATGGCGTAGTGCCCTTGTTTAGAAATAAACCCGAAGGGTCAATTCTCATAGCGGGTGCCCTCAAAAAGGACAAATCCCAAATGAGCTACAATGAAGACCTGGTAGGAGAGTCCATTCTAAACAATTCAAAGTCAACGACTCGGGGGCCTGTCTCCTACTTTTCCGATATCAGTGGCTCAACTCCAAAACCTGCACCCTCAAACCACCCGTACAAAAGCGGGGGGTATTGCCGCAACATAGTGGGCTGTTCCATTTTTGAGAGTTTGAGGGTCCAGGATGCGTTTGAAGTCACCATCCTGGTGCAAGCGTTTTGTCGTTTTGTCAAATGCGTGCCGCTCCCGAACAACGCCAAACCCAACCCGTTCGGCTCGCTTGAGGAGGCCTCTGCCATTGCGGAGTTGCGTTTGCACCCGAACCAAGTTGAGTCATAATAAAAACCCGGTAGTAAAATGGTCTACCCAGAACCAGGCCAAACTGAATTTTAAGTGGTACATCGTTGGGATTGTCTACCATCTTCAAGTGGCCCGTTAAAACCCAGAGTCGTTACTTGTTTACCACTAAACGTATTTTCTCGATGATTTAATACCTCTTGGCTCACCATCTTTCAAAACGCGTACAGTCCATACATGCAGGGGACTGAGGTTTTGAAAACGTGGGCCAAGCCGTCAACTCTTCAGACACACACACACACATGGGTTTGTCTCAAAACAGGGAACACAAATGGGTAGGTTCCGTTTGGTGTCCCTGTAAGACGCGACCCGTTCCCCAAAAAAACACACACCATGCACATGCGCGTCTCCAACTGGGCCTGTGCGAGCAGTGGTGCCGTGCCCCTTGAGTGTCCATTGAGGGGTAGGGTACCATCAAGCAGGGCTCCACTTTTTGACTACAGCAGACGGAGAACCCTGGTTCATTCCAGAAAAACCCATGGGTTTAAGTCTATGGCCGCTTGTCTCCAGTCTTATTGGTTTCCCTGGGTCCCTCTGCCCGCAAACTGGCCATCCGGAGCTGCGCTCGCGGATGCGGCACAGGGCACCGTCCAACTCTCGCCCGGGACCTAAATGCCCCCTGCTCCATCCACGGGACTTTTGTTCAAACAATTCATTCCAACCATTCTCTTCACCCCTTCTCTTTAGAAACTACCCATTTCCCCCAAACACATGGTTCGCAGTTTTCGAAGACCTGGGTCCCTGAAGAGAATGGGATCGGGGGGAGGACCCAATGTCTTCTCTCGATTTCTTTCAAAGCGAAACCATGTTGCCCTCCCACCATGGAACCAGAAGGTATGTAGAAAAATGATCTCGGGACCAGCCAGGTTGCATGTGCTAAACGAGTTCCGCATCATTCCTGGTTGTTGACTAGGTGGGAAGGAATCAATCAGGGTTCGGCCAATCCTCTTTGGTTTTGGCTTGGGTGGTTGTCAAAAAAGGGGGTCCCTTGTTTGGATGGTTGAAAGGATACCAACCACCTGAAGGAATTGGTCCCTATTTTTAAGTCAACATTTCGCATCCAGATGTTTCAGGGGTCTTCGGTCCCCAAGGCGACGGGCCCCCCGAATTCCCAACCTTGATGGCCGGAAGATGATCGAATTCACACCTTCTGGTTCCATTGAAGTGACATCCAAACTACTCACTTCTTGATCCTTAGCAGTGCACTCAGAACCAGGCCCGTCCTTTTGGAATCCAAGCTGCATTTCTTCATATCGAGGTGGAAACAACGGAAATGAGCCGAACACATCCTCCCATTTCGGTATCCCGGTGGTAAGGGAAATCCAGAAACCCACACGCAATGAAAAGCCCAAATCGTCACTTTAATGGACCTGAAAGTCCGGTCGGCATGAAAGCGCAAGGGAATCTTTGCGAAGATTACTTTTGCGAAAAAGCACGCCGGCGCCCGGACATCGCTGCAAACCGCGCTGGACAGAGCTGTTCGAGTGTAACAGCAGCTCTTTTCCAGCTTCCAAATCCACGACTTCATGTAGCTTGGGACTGTCTCACTACGCTCTTCACATGGTTATTTCTTGGGGTATGTAACACGCGACGCGCCACAAATCTTTTTGCGGAGGTATGTAACGGGGGTCAACGGAAAAACACTTCTTGACAGGTATCAGTAGCACAATGTTGTGCAGAGCAAGAAAGAGCCGCAACTGTTCAGTGCGAGTGCAGTACCCCGGGCTGGGGTTGGGTTTGTAACGAGATAGGTAACGGCTCATAGCAAAGTGCAGTACGCAAAGTGCGCCTCCGCAGCTCCAGCTTGAAAGTTGCAGCTATTCAACAACGCAAGCCACGAGGCTGCCAAAAGGGGGGTTGCTGGCCCGGGCTGGGGTTGGGTGTAACGAGTTCTGTAATGAAGCATCCAGCTTGATTGCAGCTCAACACAAGGCAAGCGGCAAAAAGGGGGCTTGCTGGCCGGGCTGGGGTTGGCTCTGTAACGACGTATGTAGCGGCGAGGTGTGAAACATGTCATCTGACAAGGGGTTATTACATTCTTTGGAAGGGGATATGCAGATCACAGCACTTTGCAGCGTGTACGGCTCATGGCAATGGCTTTGTGCCAAGCACCACGGCTCAATTCTCGAATTCGTGGATAAAGGAGTCTTGCATTTAGGCCCAGCACTGACAACAGAGTTGACCCCTTCACACCTACCCTGACTGAGATATGTGAACACAGCGGCATCCTGAATCCTTTTGTTGGGTGCCGATTTTACAGGGAAACCCACCTGAACTTCAGTTGAAGGGGCCAACTGAAACTAGGGCGGCCCAATCTTTCAATTCCCTTGGCTCCAAAAGCAGCCAGGGCGTCGTTGTTGAGCAAAAAGGGAGTCACTCCCCCGCAAGGTCGATCTGAAATCTATCTTTGGAACCACTGAAAGCCAGCCAGAAGTTCCCAGCGTCTTGCGCTCTAACCGGATGGGGACCTTGTCCTTGCTGCGGGAATGAACCAGCTTTGCCCAGTGCCAAAAAAGAAAGCTTTCGGGCTCACGCTTGTTGGAAAAACAAAAAGCAAAAAACAAAATGGATGTTTGAGGGCGACCCCCAAAAATGGTTGCTGTCCTTTTGGTATCCCTTTAAAACCACCCAAGAAGGGGGTACCGACTCCAAATGACACACCCTCCGGAGCCCGAGCTATCCGCTCCGAACTAAGGGAGCAAGCCTATCCGGGCGTCATAGCCAAAGGACACAGGTTTTTTGGACGGTTTATTTTCAAGGGATTCCCTTCCCAAAGGAAAAGGGAGAAAGCTGCGGTCGTTGGAGCATTCGGCCCCTTTTGAAGGTCAAGCTCGCTCTTCACTGATTGATGTGGATGGACAACATCCTGCACCACCTGCAATGATACAACTCCCCAATTCCCTTATAAATACCACCAAACAATGGTGTCAACCATGGCTTGAAAGTGGTGCGAAATGGATTTCGTCCATCCACAGAAGGCGTGTTCTGTTTGGAGAAAGGATGAGGGTGCCAAAAGGATCCAATCTGACGCCAGGCCTGGGCAACTCTCAACCCCATGTTGTGCCAATCCGATGGATTCATTCGAAGGCTTCAGTGTTGAAGAGCATCGGTCGGAACCAATCCTCAGTGAAGCTGGTCTTGGGGCTCACTGGGACCCCGCACCAGTTTCGTTGGGGGTGGTTGTTGTTGTTTTCTTGTCCGGAGAACCCATTCAATGGTTTGAACAAGGAAACAAAGGGTTTAAAGGTCCCCCGAAGTTGCTCCGGGTATGTAACCCCAATCAGCCCGGGAAGTAGAACAATCTACCAACAATTGCCAGCAGGGTTGTGTGCGCTGCGCACATCCGATTTATATAAATCTTGGCAATGCATGCCTATGCCACAAAAGTCGAATTGATTTGGGGCTCTCCGATTTTTTGTTTTGGCTTTCTTGTCCATGCACGGAGGGAATGCGATGCCCCTTGACCTCCTCACCACCCGCCCTGTGTTCCACGAAAAAGACACTGAAGTTTATGTTTATATAGTTGCCTAGTCCTAAGAGGTAGTTACACCCCCCTGTCAATTGTTTAAAGGGCTCCCTCAACATTTTGCAAACATCCCTCCCTCTCGCCCTTCTCCCTCCCTCCCTGCCTAGAGACTTGGCAAAAAATGGAAAGTCTTGCCAATCAAATTGTCCAAACCCAAAAAGTACCAAATGCTAGGAACTCAGGAAGTGAGTCAAGGGCCCTCCCTCCGTCCCTCCCCCTCTTTCCCTCCCTCCCTCTCTCCATCCATGGGGCGTTCTTGATCCTCTCTGAGTCCTTCTCAAAGTACTTGCTCATGTTCGCGTGGTAGCCTGCCAACACATTTCGCGTCATCTACAAACAATACGGACACCGACATTTTGCGGCTGGGAGTTGCTTCGAGGTTGAGTTTGTTTTCTTAATTGATTGATTGCTTGCTTGTACGCCGGAAATGATTTACTGCGTGGCTTTGAGAGCGTGCCCTCGGAGAACCAAGCCTGCTGTAAGCCAAGCTGATCCAAGCGGACCCCCCTGCTGCAAAGCTTGCTCTACAGTGGATGCCAACTAGATGCAAAGGTGGAGCAAGTTCGAACTCAGATTTGCCGGAATATGCCAGGGGTTGGTGGTTGGAAGTGGATGTACCTTCAAAAATGAGGGGAATCCACCGCAGCTTTACCTTTCTTTCCCAACAGGCCAAAAAAACTACAAGTCTTCCCATTCCCAGCATGTTACCCTAGATTTTGCAAGTGAAAGAAGGGAACGCAGCTGATTCACCGGCGTCTTTGCCATGCTCTTTGGAGCTCCCAGCTCGCAACAAGGCGAGAGATCTATCCGCAATAGGTTTGTGACCTGGAGTGTCAAGCCTCTACGTTGTTTACCTTACACCCAGAGAGGAAACAGGTACCTTGCCCACAAAACGGGGTACACGGAAACCTGTCTATATTTTTCTGACTCTGTTCCACGTTTAACCCTGAATATCAAATAGTGTCGTCCCCGGGTATGCGAGGACAAATTCTACCCTCTTCCCGGGAAGTGAGCGGGTGGAGCAGGAGGAGGATGCCTCGTCAAAAGCACGCTGGTCTTCGGTCCAAAACCGGTTCAGCTTCCACAGCTGCTGGAACGAGGAGTACCCACACACATCTGTCAATTCTATCGTGGATTCTAGAACAGTTCGTACCAGTGCCTGAGATGAGGAATCCCCAAGCAAAGGACCCACATCATGGGTTTTACCCGAAACAGTAACAATGCTCGCCATGATATCATAAAACAAGCAACGCCATGATATCATAAAACAAGCAAACAAATCAATCCTCAATCAGGGATAATTACTCTCTTACACCCCTCGGATGCTTCATGTTGTGAAACGGGGCCATCACGCGCCCAACTGTAGCTTGCTGGGACTGCTGGAATGGTTGGCTTGCGTTTGGTTCCTAAGACATCCAAAAGGAGGTTCTGCGTTTCGCACCCCCGATCCATCTGGCACTAAGCCATGTTTTGCGGGAAAAAGGGTGAGTTCGGTCAAGCAGCGGGCTTTGCAGGAAAACCAACAGGAAAACCACCATTTAGGAGGGCCGATTTCCAAAGAAAGACACACCCATGTTTCAACCTCCTAGGGCGAATCAAGAAAGGGTCCAGCCTTTCATGTTCCGAACAAACTCCGAACAAACCCGATTTAAGGGCCTTCATGCTTCCGGCCTCCCGCAAGAAAACCCTCTGCCTTCCAATCTCCAGAGATCGGGGGCCACTGGCCTTTGGGTGAAAAATGCGAAAAGTGGGATGCCCAACATGACTCTATCTCAATCAGGCCTCCCATAGGATGACTCAAAAAAAAAAGCGGGGATCCGATTCCCACACATGTGCACTTGAAACCGCATTGTGTGCCCCGATTCCTCAAACATAGTTCTAGGTCAGCATCCGAATTGCTCATGGTGTCTTTTGCGCCTGGGGCATGGGTTTCCCTGTGATACCAAAGTCCTCGCCCCCACTGCTTTACTACTATCAAGAGCATGTCCTTTGTATCACAGAAAAGCGCAAAGCTCCCGCCGCACCCTGACCAGTCGGTTCAGGCATTCTTGCCTTGAGAAAATCGGCCACAACCCCGGGCAGAACCACTCGATTTCTGCACAAAATGACGGGTGAAAAGAATGGGTGTAAGGGCCCAAGTAAATAAAATGGGGTTGTGGTGTATATTCTAAAATCATCCGAAGTCTGGGTCGTAGGAGTATGCTGTTGGCAATTAAATTGTCCGATTTGCCCTGTTAGAGTCTGTGCTTCTCAAGAAGGGGTACCGGTTTCCCCTTGGCTTAAATGGTCACTTGCTTTTGGGGGCCCCATTGCGACACCACGCAGAAGACTCAAACGTAAAAGTAGCTCCCCTTTTGGAGGGGGAAAACACACCTCACCACCCCCTATTTTGTAGGAGCCCCAAGTGCTTCATGGACATTGGGTTGAATTGGTCGTCTACCTGGACAAAAGAAATGGCCGGAAAAACGAGACATCGCGCCAGGAAAAGGGACACTGGATTGCTCCCCAGCCCCGATCTTTTGTGAATCTGCGCCTTGTGTCACGGCGGGGGCCACTTCCAAAATCTTCTTCGAGGAGTACAGCTTCAGCTGCCGCCGGTGGAAGGCCAGCACAAACCTGGCGCTCGAAAGCCGAAAACCGGCTTGAGGCACACCCATGGTTTGGTCGCACCGGGTTGACCCAAAACCTCTTCCCCCCGAAAACAAAAAAACACATGCAACATCATGCAACAAATTGCGGGTTTCCTCTTGGCTTCCCTTGAAAACAACGGTGCCCTCAAAGGCACGCCCATTTAGATCTCTCCGAATCGACATGGCGCCCAGAAAATCACCTTTTGCTACTTAAATCCCGTTTTGGCAATGATCTGCAGGGAAGTAGTCACATGGGGTTGGAACTTGGGGAAGTTAATGACCAACCCTTCGGAGATCGTTGGGTGTCATGAACATGGCTGTTCACTGAAATTTGAACTTGGTGAGCATCAATCGTTCTGTCCATGGAGAAGTCTCGGATATCGCGTCTGGGCAAGAATAAGTATGCACAAACCAAACATAAGGAATCCTCGAAGGAACTTTCATCTTGCGCGAGCTCCTTCTACCGTACTTCTACCCCACAGCTCCTTGCAAATTGTGCCGATTTGGATAACGTTGAGAGGCCAACAGAAGAGATCTTGCGGACACCTGCCTTCCCTATATCAAAAAAAACAGGAACCTAATCAAAATGGTAAAATCATGCGTGATGTTTGAGCCCAAGAAACTCATCCCTCGTTTTCCAGATGCGGCCCACCGGGGTCCTTTGAGTGAGTCCATTGCCCTGGGTGCCAAATGGGCTCTCACAAATGGGTGTTTCTTATTGGAGAACCCCCACAACGGGGGGTCCCCTAAAGAAAGACACACCCAAATCGGTTCTAGCGCGTAGAATGCTACAGGAGTTCCCCTAATTGCCCCTGCCAACTGCATCACTGATTGAACGAACCTCGTATGGAGCTATCCCCAAATCGGGAAGCGACCGATTTGTTTGCCGTGCAGCTGAAGGGAAACCCGAACACATGTCCGCCAAGTCGCTGTTGCGCAACGCTTGCGGAGTTGAAGTTGATAAAGCCGTAGCCGCGGTTCCGCTTGGTCTTGAAGTCCATGGGCAGGTAAAAGAAGTCGAACCTCAAAAACCAAGCGGCTCGCTGCACGAAGACGACATTCCATGTTGGTTGTCCCCCAAGCTGGAGAAAACCATCTGTACGATACATATACTTATATATACTAGAAGTAGTAGTAGTAGTAGTAGTAGAAGAAGAAGAAGAAGTAGTAATTGTTGTTGTGGTTGGGCTTCTGTCATTTTTCGTGGGCCTTACCTTTTCCATAATGGTGGTGGTCGTTTGTGTCATTTTACCTTGGCCTCGTTTGAGGTAACCGACTCGAATCTGGTCGCTTGAGGAGGAAGGGTCGAACTGGCCAGCGGACGGGGGCGTCTGAGACAGTGTGACCGAAAAGATCAGTTCAAGTCAGGATCGTTCCCCAGTGGTTCCTGAACCATCCTTTCAACCATCGAAAAGCCAGTGGCATCATCTTCTCTTGGGAATTTGAGGTGTCTTTTCACCTGCTGGTGCTCAGCAGGGAGTTGGAACGACCCCGAGAGAAACCATCCCCTATGGTCTCCTTCAAGGGAACCCCTAGGTTCATTCCCAACACCCGGGGTCATTCCCTACTGAGCAGCAACAAGCTCAGGAACAACGTTTTCTGCAGATCTTCAACTCACTGTTTGGCAAAGCGTGGCGAGCGGCTTCCGATCGAAGCCGGCAATCATCACCTCGCTCAGCAGCTCCTCACAGGTGTAGCGGTTCGGGATGTTCCTCAGCATCACCTGAGCAAGCTGGATAAGTAAGCCCGTTGACTTTCGGGTCTGATCAGCGTGTTGTCCCAGTTCGATGATGTATGGTCGAACCCCCGTAAGGCTACCAAGATCTGAGATCTTAATCGGCCGTGGTAGAAATGCACTGTGTGGGCGCTTGACGGATAGAGAGACCCCCAGCAGCGCACACAATTGAAGCACACTCCATGGCTCAAAATGATTGCTTTCAGTTGAGAGAAACTGCCGTTCAAGTGCACCCTGCCAACTCATCGTCGTTGTTGTGGCCCCACTTGTGTCCACTACTGACAAACATGTCATTTCCAACTGCAGGAACATTCTGTTGCGCTCGTACGGAGCAGCTTCATGATGTGCTCATAAACTGCTTCGTTTGCCCAATGGTTTGAAAGTGCAAGTTCTCCTCTAAACTACGGGTGATCCCTTCAAACGAGTCACACGCAAAATCCGCTGCAACAGCCCCGCAATCAAGCCAGTGCTCCTGTCAACCCGCCTCTCTGGCATCACGCAAACGATCCACGATCAGTGAGGAACACGGTGATCCCATGATAGATGTTCAAAGTCGCGGCAAGTGGCGAGCGACCAGAAACTCTGACATGGATTCGGCTTGAGATTTCTTTGTAAGGCAGGGAAGTTATGGGCAACACGGGCGCGAATCTCCTCAGATTTCCTTTCAAGCGCGTGCTGGAAGTCGCAACCTCCCTGCCCGCTTGACAATCAAACCTGATAATAGATGGACCCCACAAATCATGGCAAATCATCCAAATGCCGGATATCCGCATTGGGACAATTCGCTACAATGGTTTGCGTAAGCCAAGATCTTTGATGCCTCACGCCAGGTTGCAGTAGTTTTGTCTTCGATGAAGAGGTTGGCCACGTTTTCTGCATCCCTGGCCGAGAAAAAACATGTGGAAAAAGGACGAGTGGAAACATTCAATGCCATGCAATGCCATGTCATGCCACATGTACATGTATGATATATATATATATATACCCTTCAAACTAGCGGTACCAACCCACATCAGGGTGTGTAGATTTGTTGTTGATTCATAGAAGAGAAGGACTTGGAACCGCTAGGCACTAAACAAATCTTTACAACAAACGCAAACCTGGCTCGATTTGACTAGTCTGCAACCGGAAGGAAGGTCGACGGGCTGTTGCCAAGAATGCCTTGGCATGAAACATGTGTGCCATGGCGTCCAAATTCCCTATGCCACCAGCCTTCATGGTCGCCTTAGTAGCTCGGTTGCTTCCTGCTCCCCTGCTAAAAGCTTAACTTTTAGTGGTTTAATGGAAAGCCCATTAGTTGGCAAAAAGCTAATGTCCTAACATCCAAGCAAAATGCACCAAGGGTAGGATTAATGTCAAGCAACCATTAATACCCTAACAAAGCGTTTATGACCAGCCCTGCAACCCTACATAACAAGGTGTTTTCATCTGTGGGTGTGTCTGGGACCGCCGTTTCACGGGGTACCGGGGTACCGTTTCGAATAACCCGTGCAAAAAGGTGCCCAACACAAACCACATGATTAGCAAATATTACACACACAAAAACCACACGCCATATATCAAGAGCGTACCACACATGTACGTACGTACCGTACGGAAGTGTAATGCAGTGTAATGTAACATAATGTCATGAAATGCAATGTAATGGCATGTAATGCAATATAATGCCATGTATTACAATGCAGGCAACTAGGAATTTGTATATGTGTGTGTGTATGTGTATGTGTATGTGCTTGCCTAATCTTGCGTATCTTTCTTGACCTGCATGCGAATGATCCCCTGCGGGGAGCTGAGTTTCCCGGAAGCATGCGAAGGCCATGCCGTTCAGCTAAAGGGGTCTCGCCTTCGGACAAAAGGGCTTCGGATACTGGCCTACGGGTGTTCAGGCGCAATGGGAGGTCTCTCTTATGGCTGGATATGTGCGTGAGTTGCTTTGAGGGTACCCTTTCAGCATGCAACTTCTTGGAGGGTCCAAATGCCAATTTGCCCATAAGAATCCCCATGTTCTGCCTTTCGCATTGTTGTCAGGGAGCCAGCCCAACTCGGGTGGCAACCCCCGAAAAGCCGCCAATTCCTCGCCCCAGCTTCTTAACGGGCATACGATTCCGAGGACTGGCACCTGGACAACGAGACAACGAACTCATGGTGAAGCAAGGCTTGAAAGCTTGTGGGCATTCCTGCCTGGTCTGAGCTATGGCAAAGGGTCAAAAGGGGTTTTTACCATGGGCCAATGCCAGACCCCCATTTTTTGGTATACCAACTCACTTCCGATCGAGTAGATTGATCGAAAAGAAGAAAAACAAGAAACTATCTCTTTACCACCTAAACGGTCTTCCCCAAAAAATATAAAGTCCAGGAACTCAGGGAGTGACCCCCCCAAAATGCTTTTCTAGTTCACCTAACATTGAAGAATTATGTTCTGACTGCCTGGGAGCGGAATGGGAGAACAAGTCGAATCTTTTCGCAAAGACCATAACATTATCTCATAGGACATGGGTGTGTGAATGATCGCGGCTCATTTTGGCCCATCTAAGTTTGCAACCAAACAACCACCCCTGTTCCTTAGTTACCTGACAAGGGAACTCATAAGCTGCTATGGTTCAGACACCTCACCGACATTATTTAGGCCCTTGTTTGTAGCGATCTCATGCAGGGTATCTCTCAGAAGCCGTCTCAAGAGGTGAAGGTACGGACAACCAAACTAATCCCGGTCGCTGCGTTCGATGCAACCCTAGATTCCCGGATCAGTGTGACCTATTTTCTTTCGGCCGGCTCAGGGAAACCTGTGCTCAGAACGTGCAGCTTTGGATAACTCAAACCTTTGCATGTCTGAAGCGAAGGGATCTTTGCCAAGTTGCACTCTAAGTGTCTGTGTCAAACTCCATAGCGCCCTTGTGCTTGCCCGGCAAAGAACTTGTCCATGTGTGTTGCTGGGTTTTCACAGAATGCCACCACACAAAGGGTGCGCTGAGATTGTTACGTGGCTTGGATAGATGAGCCGTCTCAAATAATGCAAAGGCAATTTTGTTTGATTGGTCGATGTTGCAACCGGATAGGATAGGATACGCAAACCTCTACTAAAACGGCCAACCCACAAACATCGCGTTCGGCACCCTGCTCATTTGTCTTCGCAACGATCGGGAAGAACCCTCTCTGGTTTAGAGTGCTGGGCACTGCTCAACTGTACCGTGGATAATGACTTCTTCTTGTTGGCTGGCTTTGACAGGGAGATAAATCTCAAGCAAAGTTGCCAGTGACGCCTGTCAAACCAGTATTTAAAAAGCCTCGATCCAATAAGCCAGTCCAACAATAACTTGGAAGGACAATGACTCCCCAAACAATCAGCAAGGTGGACAATCCACACAAGCTAAATGGCAAATGAACACATGCTTGTTTGAAGAGGTAGACTCTACCAGCAAGTTGAACAAAGTCTGCCGTGTATCACCTGAATTGAAGAGAAACATCGCATAAACGCATGGAATTTGGGGATGGTGAGCTGATTTAGCGTTAAGATTCCACGCAACCACATACGAATCCTGCCCAAGCTAACCTGGAACACAATTTGTAGAGGAATCTCCTCTTGGAGGTTGCTTCCACTAGTTTGCAGGAAAGCACTCCCCTTCCCGCTCTTTGTTTCCCAGGAAAATGATCCAAAGCCAAAAAGTGCCTAGAACCCAAAACATGAAACCATGGAAGGGAGTTGAGCTAGGAAGTAAGGTGAGCACTACTCGGTGGAGTATTTGGGCCTTTCAACAAGCACACGATAAATGCCCCACTTCGCCGGCCTCAGCCCTTGCGGGCTCAGATCGTCACTGTCCTAACTTCGGATACGGTCGATGAATGTCCGACCGCTGCGAAACACCCGAGAAGGTGACTGGGGTCAGTCCTCAAAAAATGCCGGCACTCAGACAACAAAATTGAGAATCACCCTAAAATCATTGAGTAAAGTCCGGCAGAGCCAAGGGGAGAAAGCTTCAAAGATGCGAAAAGTAAAAATAACGTGGAGTGTGTTTCGTCCCCCCCCCCTTTTTCTCTATCTCTCCCCCTGTCTCTTGACGTTCCTCTGTGTCTTCTTTCTCTCCCAGTTGTCTCCCTCTTCCTATGTCCTTGTTCTTTTTGGTTTCTTTTGCAATTGATGATATCTTCCTGATCGTCCTCCTTGCTTTCTGGGTCCCTCCCTCTCTCTTTGACTTTCTGTGTCCCTTGTTCATTCTGTTTCTATGTCTCTTTCTCGTCCTTCTTTCCATTTTTCCTGTTTCTTCTTTCCTCTTTGCTGTTTCCGCAAAAAAGCGCTGCATCACCCCACAGGAAAATCTCTAAAACTACCAATCGCTGAAGGCCGGCCGACCCTGCGCAGAAGACCGCAAAGTGCGTTGCAAGCAAAGTGACAAGCGTCGGCTGTGAAGCATGTTGCTCCCCGTGGCAATGGGCCTTTTCCGAGACTGTTTCGACTGCGCTCCGGGACCTCTTTCGTCATGCGTCACAACCGAGGTGGTTCGCCACGTGTGAAAAGCCGAATTCACACACAGGGCCACGTGTTCTGCTCGCTTGTGTTCCCGAGCTCTAGCTTTTGCTTGGCTTTCAGCTTTCTCACGCGCAGTACATTAACCTCAAGGAACACACTCTCAACTCCCACTAGTTCTAGCCATCGGCAACATCATCTATGCCATCTATAGTATGTCCATGCGACACTCATCCACCCTCATCGAACAAGTACTTCCATCAATCCCCGATGCCTACGCATGGCATTCAAACGAGCACCAACTGGAGGACTACCTCTTCCGAGCGAAGCGACATGCTTATGCAAGCAAGCAAGCAAGCAAGCAAGCAAGCAAGCAAGCAAGCAAGCAAGCAAGCAAGCAAGCAAGCAAGCAAGCAAGCAAGCAAGCAAGCAAGCAAGCAAGCAAGCAAGCAAGCAAGCAAGCAAGCAAGCAAGCAAGCAAGCAAGCAAGCAAGCAAGCAAGCAAGCAAGCAAGCAAGCAAGCAAGCAAGCAAGCAAGCAAGCAAGCAAGCAAGCAAGCAAGCAAGCAAGCAAGCAAGCAAGCAAGCAGCAGACAACCAATGCAACCAAAGGCGCATTGACATTCAAGCATTCGCGCTACTAGAATGCACAAGGCTGAATTTCGAAATCCCGAAGTCGGTGATGTCCGTCATGTGTGAGCTTATGTTACCCTTGACCGAGCATGACTTGGCAAAAACATTGCGTCTAGCCGCCAAGTCATACTATTCATCTCATCGGGAAACACACGGCTGGGCGGCTGCCGGGTTGACTTGACTTTGCTGGTTCTCACATTGGGGCATTGACAATATGTTTGGGCATGAACCGCTTCTTTGGACCGGTTCAGCTCGGTCCAACGACCAGCCTTCCTCTTGAAACAGGGGCGAGGATGATCGAACAACTTTGAAGGGGGGGGTTGTTCGTAATTGCCCGCCTTGCTAAGCTTGACAGTATCGTTTCAGCACCTTAGTCATAACATCTCTTGCAGACTGCCCTTTTGGCCCCATGGAGAACCCATCGCGACCCCTTCAAGGGCCTTAAACAAATTGTTGAGGACCACACAAACCGACAGGACCATGCGAATAATTCCTGTGTCCAGTATTTTAATTGATTCGTTCCAGGCTTGTCAGCACATTCCTGTACTGCCTGGGCGTATTATGTAGACAAGTTGCTGTAAGCCGTACCGAAACCAGCAAGCACAGCCATCAAGATAGCCTACAATTGCTCAGGCCACCGCAGGAAAAAAACACCCTATTGTTGCTTAATTTCAAGGAACACTCTCTTCAAACAAGAGACAAGGCAGCCAGTAAGCCTTTCCTTATAGGATTTAGATGGCGAGACACTCAGATTGTCCTTGTGGTTTCGCTGCAAGCATCCAATGATTGGTCATTCAACCTATATCCTGGAAATTCGACCTACCTGCCCGCATTGAGGGCAAAATCAAACGCTAAAGCTCAGACTTGGGGCACCAAGTTCGACAGCCGAGAGCCTTGCCGCGTTTTGGTCGGCCAAGCCACGGTCGAGACCAAGCCAGGCATCAACACCTGCGGTCCGACCGTTATGAGTCGTTCTGAATTACACCCCCAGGAAAAAGGGGGGGTGTTTCCAACAATAGGAGACCTGGAGGTGTGCGATGCAACCCTGGAAAAGAGAGGCAGGATCGATCCTAACCCCTTCGTTGGCAAGGCCTTCGGTCGGTTGGCGTTCTGGTATCCTGAAGCATGCCTCAATCCCAAGGCAAAAGCACTGGAGGTGTGAACCGTAAGGGAGTGTTGGGCCCGACGAGAGAAATTGTAACTGTGTTGAACCAATTGGTTCATGTTGGATTGATTGTTTGAACCGCCTCCTTTTGCTCTAAGGAAACCATCTGAAATAATTAGCGCAACGTTTTGCCAGTTGACTGCTCACATTCTGGGGCCATCCCGGAATGTAAGGCTGCACAAAACGAAGCTACGTTTTGTTGCCTAGAGTGTAGTACTACCCACACGCTCAACATCAACCAACTCCGCTTCTCTCTTCCTGAGTGGATTTCTCCCAAAAAAAGCAGCTTTTGGTTTACCATAAACTTGCTGTTCCCAAACAGTTCAGGTCCAGAACTGGGGAAAGCAAGTTTGGCTCTCCCCGGCCGCCAGCTTCTTTTCGGCAAAGGGTGATGCTCGTCTCTATCGATCCTAGGGGTGTCCATAAATCCTAACCGCCATGGCAACGGCAACCAGGGCAAATCACTTTCAGCACCCTCCCAGTTGCACTTCCCTGGGATAGGAAGGGCTCCCGCTGCCTGGCATTCCCGACGTGATCTCTGCAGTAACAGCAGTGCGTGTTCAAGGGTTGGGTCCAGGCAAAATGCCATATCGTCGAAGCACAGATGTGTTAAAAGATCACCATGAGGGGGCCTAGTGTAGCGCAAAAGTGGAAGCATTGCTGGCTGTGGAAAGAATGTTTCTTCACGTGTTGCTTTAGTTGAAGCAACCCAACAAAACTGGTGCCCTAAAATAAATCAAATCCACATGTCCTGATTGTGGGATTTGCATCCGTGCATGGGACAAGTCCTATTCCGTCTCTGGATGCACCGCATCACCCCAGCCTTCTTGGTGGAGCACTTCTGACCGTGCCTAGTGGTGAAAACCCCTTTTTGGCAGCTCACAGCTTGCAAAGGGGAACCTCGCGGGGTCAGTCAGTGGATATGGGTAGATGACAAACAAAATTTTACGCTTCAACACATGGAGAAACACAAACACACGGATCTTAAGCAGGCGTATCCATCAAGGAGCTTGCGGAAACGGCTTTCCGGGATCGCTGGTGCAAAGAACACCGGTGCCACTAGGTCCCTCAATACTGTGGATGGCTGAGAAAACAATTTCGCACCGCCTAAGAAGCCCAGGAATGATTCGATTCCCCTGTATATACCAACAAACAATTGGCTTCATTTTGGGGCAGGAGCTTCTGGTTGTCTGCAATCCCTATCGGTCATCCTTACCCACAAAATGGGGCCTTTGATCATAGAACATAGGCGATATGCACTCCGAACTAAGCATAGCGTGAATGTCCGAGGCATTTCGTTTTTGCCGGGACATGGGCAGTTGGTTACACCAAAATCGGGGCAAGAGAAACCAAACAAAGGAAACCACGCCATTTCAAAGGAAACCAAAGGACACCAAGTAAACTTGAGACCTAGGGCGAGTAGGATTTGTCAATTCTCCGGCATACCCATGAAGGTAGATAGAAGTCCGTGCTTTTCGGATCTCTTTGCCCCTGATTAGCCTCCCTTTTGGGGAACCCCAAAACGTCGACTTCCCCTGGGGGTGGCTAATCACTTACCTGTTCGCTCTTCTGCTCTCCAGCCACAGCCTCTAAAGGTGAGTCTAAAAGGTTGGACTCGTTCTTCAAACCCTCCCGCGCACAATGGACGTGAGGGGTTGCTCATCAGTCGTCCAAGCGTGTCACCTGACTTCGGAGCACGAGACCATCCTTGGCCTCTTCCAGTTCATGAAGAACTCAGAGCAAGTTGCACGCATTTCTTTGTGGCATTTGTCAACAAAGCATTTCTGAACATGCTGTGACACTGTGAAGGGCCACAACCTTTCATTCCAAAACCTGAAATTAGAGCTCCCAACACACATGACCTGCCTCCTAGTCAGTTTTGTTGACCCTGAATCGGTGAGCTCGTTCTGAAATAGTATCTCTGCAAACTTTCAGGTCAGACGTGTGCCAAGATGCTCCGGCTTGTCATATCCTGGCGTTGCGTGGCATCAACTGCCGTGATTCCGCCGGAGTGTCTCAGCTGCCCTTGAAAAGGGTCAGGGGTAGTTTGGAGCACGGTGTTTTGAAGATTAGTCATGTTTCCCATTTACCATCTAAACCAGGATTTCAAATCCCCAAACCGCCACCAATTAGGGGCTACCTGAGAATCTTCTTTCTTGCGTCCCCCACTGATTGCACAACAACAACATCAAGGGCACCTCGCCCCGAAGAGAAAACTGCTATTCCCAGCTGTTTTCTTCCCAAATGCAAGGCGTTGAGTCCTACGATGTTCAGCCCAGGGCTCCACAGGTTTCAATCCTGGTCAAAGATGTGTCCTGGACACTCAGGCTCCCGTAAAAAATGGATACTGCCTGATATGTTCCCAAAATGGGTGGTTTCTTTAAAGGGGATCCCGCCCAAAAAAAATATCTTGTGGGTACCGTCAAAAAATACTCAAATCATGGGGTGAATCAGTAGGGTCCAGGTTCTTGCAATCTAGCCAAATAGCAACCAGCGAAAGCAGCGTGTTCCGTTTTTGGTAGTCTCCAAGTCCCTGTCAAATGTAAGTTAGAACTGTGTGACCTGTATCCTTGACCAGACTGATCCGGCCCGTAAAAAGTTCAGACATTTCACCGGTTGAAATACAACAAGAAGGAACAGCGTCCAAAAGGCAACACACATTCCAAGTGGACCCCAGCGAACACTAAAGTAGGTAAGCAGCAATTGTGCTATTGGTTTGTGAATCCCTTGGCTACCTACTATACAGGGAAGGGGAATCACTGATATAGTTCAGCCTGGCAATGCCAACACACCATTGGTGTTCAGAAACCAATGCAATTGTTCAACTGACCCACCATCGGTCCACGAGGGTTCTGCTGGGTACGCCACCAGACCAGACCCTCGGGTTGTAGCCTGAAAGTCCTCGTTCAACAAATCAGTCTCTCGCAGCCAACAGGTAATTACACCGCCAGCAAGCGGGCATAAAGGGAACATGGTTAAACTCATGCCCTGGTTGATCAAAAGGGGGGAGTCAGCACATAGAGAGACTCGGGATCACCATTTGGAGAAACAATGCTGTATTCATCCAGCTTGGAAGAAAGAACCGCTGGCCCGCAAAGGAGAGAAGCTGAATCGGCACGTGGCCCAGTAAAGTGCTTGACTGCCGCGCCGGAGAAGGGAGAGGAGGTCTTCTGGTATACTGTTATATAATCCGTTCCCCCTATTAATGAATGACCCCAATTAATAAAAAATGGAAATCTGGGGCCCGGGACCAGATTTCCACTCCGCACAATTGATTTTTAATTGAGCCAATACTAAACCCTTACTAAAGTCTTGGAATCCTTATTAGGGGGCACTTTTAACAAGCTTCCAGCCCTACTTTTAAAAAGGTGGGTTCCCCAAATGGTTGTTTCCCCAAAAGGTGGCTTCCCCAAAAGGTTGCTTCCCCAAAAGGTTGCTTATCCGTACATGCTGGCTAATTAACCTGCCTGGCTGCAAGCAAACAAAAAACAAATAGAAGGATACATAAAATGTCCTTATTAAACCGCTTACTCGCGGACCTTACAATTCAATCCATTTCCTCCAAATCCTATGTGAACCCTCTCATTGTTGGAAAAGCAAAACAAAAACATTTGTTTAAAACAAATGTTTGGGGGGATTTATTTGTAATAGGGGGCCGTATTTATTGATAGGGGAAAGAGATTACTTGTCTCACATCTGGGAAACACGATTATGTTTCATACTTAATTAGTCAACCTCAAAATATCGAATATTGTATCAGAAGACAGGGTGCACTGTTTGTGGGATGAACGGAATGTTACTTTATTTAGGCTATCCCTGGCACTGTCTCCGCAAAAGACCTCCTGAGGGGTTCCATGTGAGTGAGAAGATATCCGCACACCTTAGTTTGAGGATGTCGGGGCAAGGCTGTTACAATCTCTCGTCGGATCTCGCGTTTACTAAAATCAGTGGCCCGTGGACGGGGAAACACTGGCAAACCTGGCTCTGGACTGATTGCCTGATCCCCAATTAAACCTGGCGGATGAATTCAGTGTTGCCGTGCATGCAGAATTGCCTCTAAAATGGGTTGCATGAGGTGAACTTGCCTGACAACCAAATGACGAGCTGGTGCCCACCATTTCTCCACTTTCAGTCAACCACCCCCAATTCACCAACCAACGGCCCGCCTTCCCTCTCTTCATGCGATGCCTGCCGGCGTTCAGCCGATCCCATGGTCAGACGCAAACGCGCGGACCGATGTTATGCACGGGCTTGCCACCAAACACGTGGTTTTTGACAGGTGTCCATGCGAAAGGTCTGAAAAGCGCGCGTTTCTGCCCCAACGGCGGCAACAGCATGGTCCATGGTTTTCAAATGTGGGCCCATCTTACTTGTTGCGCTGCCGTTCACCCGAGGCCAAGGATCCAGCCACCAATAAAATAGGTAAGATGATGACACATGGGCATGCTGTTTGAGTTGGGCTACTCGATTTTATGACAAGTTCAACAGAGCCTCCCAGCTCAATCAACTCTGGGGGGTGTTCACCTCCGCAGCTGCACACCCCAGCCGAAGACTGAGTGCACGTGCCGCCCTTTTTCCGAAGAAGCTTGGCTTTTGGGACAAAGGACGCTGTGCGCTGCCGGAATACACTCTCCCACCCAAGAGAACCTGGAGCTGTCCGGTTCCCTTGAAACCCTGATGTGAGTTCCAACCCTAGGTTTTTCAATCCTAACTTGAATTCGAACAACAGTTGTTGGGGTTGTTTGATTTTTAGGCCAAACAATCAAACTGTCCTGAGTGCAAGCGATCGGAATCCACCACACCCATTTAGGGCGCTCCAACTGGCGACGTCAAAATCTCCCTTAGGCAAGTTCCCTGCCGCCTCGCGCGGCGGCTTCAGGAATTGATCCAAAAGCCTCGCAGCCCACGAACCCTCAGAAAGTTAACAGGATTTGTGCTTTCCCGCAACCATGGCGGAGGGAAGTTGGAGGATTTGTGCTTTCCCGCAACCATGACGGAGGGATTGTTTCTTTTCTCAAACGCTCAAAACACACGAGCATGCGTTCCGGCACGACTGATGGAGTACAAACAAATGAGAGCAAACAATACATGGTACTGAAGAGGTCTACCCCATAGCAGGCCGAAAGTGCGGAATAAGCTGCACAGTTTGCGACTGTCCGCGATCCGAGAACAAGGTCGCTGGTTTATGGTTTCAGCCTGAAGCTTTGGCGGATGTGGCTTCGGTCATGGGCAAGTCCAAGGTAAGTTGTCACGTGAGGCAGAATTCCGCACAAAAAAGCCATCCGCATGACGTATACCTTCCCAACCCTTGGTAGGTGGGCAAGGCCAAATACGTTGCTTGAAGCCAGCCCAGAATTATGAACAACACCAGACACGCAAACTACTAGACAACATCTTGGTGTGATTTGTTTGAGGGTACCCATTGTCTTGCCCGGTCTTGCCAAGCGTGCAACAATCCGAAGCAGTCTGTCATGGGTGTTACCCCATTCAGAAACGTGAATGAATATCTTGCTTCCTCAGAACACGCTGATCACTAGTCACTAGTAAATTTACACTAGGAAAATGCCACAGAAAAGGGATTGAAGCACGCTGCAGGATTTCCGAGCAAACACCATCGAGATCCGATGCGAGCGCTCTTTGAGCGGGCTTGCAGGCATTTGCCAAGGAGCAACACAAGTGTGTGTGTGTGTGTGTGTGAACCGTTATATTGGAAAGCTAAAAGGGAACACCATGGAAAACCATCTTTTTGGGGTCCCTGTAGTTGACACCTTCCCACATTGTGCTGTCTTGTTGGGTCCTAAACCTGGATTCTTCGCAGAGCCGGACGTAGACTCGGGCAATAATGAACAGTTTGCTGGTTGCATGGGATGGTTTTTCAGCCAAGCAAAAAGCCGCAGGGAAAGTCTGGCAATGAAGGTTTCACAAAGGTTTGACGTGCTCCCCGCTGAGGGGTACAACCGGTGTGCCAAAACCGCGGATAAACAGTTTGGCATCGTGCGACCTGAACAATAAGACCATACTGATAAAAGGGTCTCCGCTAAGAAAGGCCCCTGACAAGAAAGCCTCGGCTTGCGCTCGAGAGGGAGGCTTAACAGCCCGTAGATTCCCGCCATACTTGTGCCATGCTTCAAGGGACCCAGAAGAACACCCCAACAAAGGTGCCATAGGGTTCCCGTGTCTCATCCAATCAGGGGCTGGTCGGAAAAGCCCCCCCTTGAAAAAAGGCCAGCAGAAGCGATCTGCATTTTTCTGACATCACAATTGTAGGACTTGGTCCCTGGAAAGGGAAAAAGAACAGGGCCCAATCCGAGGTTCAACCGCTATGATTTGGGTCCTTGTTTGGAGGATACCAAAGGGAGAAAGCTCAACCGTGATTCATGTGGCAAACAGGATCTTGAGCGTTGTTACCCCGATTTCCGCGTACTTGAGTGGGCGCAATTACTATCTTTGTATCAAATAAGTCAAGTCAGATCAAAAGCGCTGGAGATCAAACCAGGTTTATTGAGGCGAAATCCTCACGACGAGCTTCGAAGGTGGCTGGACTTGGATCAGGAACCCCTATATGAATGTTTTTGCCGTCCTTTTTGGCTCTTGAACAATCAAGGGGAACCCGTCCGGATTTGGTCCAACACCTCCAGTGAGGAAACATGGATATTTCTGCAGTTGAAGTTGAAGATAACCCCGTCGAACACCAGTCGACCCACCTTCCCATGTCTCAGTCCAGGAGGCAACTGATGCTTGGGCTCTGAGCATTGATTGCACGCCTCCGCATCTTTGGCGCGCGAGGGAAGAGATGGAATTCCAACCGATCGCTGCACACGGCTCCCTGTTTTCAAGTCGAAGGCCAAAGAAACATGCTCCCATTGTAAAACTACGGACGAAACCCATTTCGCACCACCTGGGAGACCTTGGAATGATACGATTCCGTTGCAAATACCAGCAAACCATGGTTTCCCATAGTTTGAAGCGGTGCAGCAGTTTGTCCATCCACAGTATGTTGGAAGATGACGTCTTTTTATCATCATTCAATTCATTGTTGCTGAGGCTAGCTTTTTTTCCTCAAAGGCGCCATGGCGATACAACTATGTTTTGAAACCAACACTGGCTTCAAACCCCCGGCTTTTGTGCAATGTGCTCATTTACGCTCGTCTGGGTCCATAGGTGGTTGCCAAAGAAGGTGGCTTTATTGTTATTAATGGTTTCGTTTTGGTCAATCCAGGGTTGCTCATGCAATGTGGCCAGATGACTACAATTCCTAAACCGGAAAGAAGGAAACTTCTAGTAAAGTACCTCATCATGGGTTAACTCGCCCTACCCCGAAATTTGGGCAGACGCCTGCATCTGCATCTGCTGCTGCAGCGGCTGCGGGTACGGCGGCGGCGGTGGCGGAATGACGTACGGATAGGCCTGCACCTGCGCCTGGCAGGCAACACCGCGAGGAAAAAACACCGTCCTTTTAGAGGAAATAGATGGCCCTGGTAGATGATTAAACCACCAGGTAAACCAGGGCCATCGATTTTTCAACCAAAACAACCAAAGGAACACCTATGCACTCAACGTTCGAGTTGGAACGGTCTTGGAAAGAAGAGGCATTTAAACATGGCCATGGGTCAATATCCCGTACCCCCAGTGAACATCCCAACCCCAACTAAAGTATTTCCCCAAAATGGTACTATTGGTTTTGACCCACAGCCACATGACCGACCCGACCCTGACCGCCATCCTTTTGCACATACCATAGATCTTCAACGCTGTTCCCAACACGTTTGGAGTTTTCAGAAGACATCAGCCTATCTCGACAGTTGACACCCCCGAACAGAGCGGAGCAGGCATGAAAAGGACCAGACCCAGGCCAAGCAAGGCTGCTGCTGTGAAGCAATTTTGACAAGTTACGCTGCCTCTTCCCCAGAGCATTCGTTTTGCTTTCTCCGCCTCTTCGCCGCAGCATTTCGTTAAAAGCAAAGCAGTGCGCGGGTGCTAAAATAGTTGGTGGCGTGGCGCCTTGTCTGACACAGGTTCCGGTGCGAGGGGCGGAAAATATCTCCTCAGTCTGCGCGCGGCTAATGCAGAAACAAAAGACAAAAAACGGCTGCTGAAGCTAATGTGGACACAGCTGAAAAGCAATTCTCTGTCGCTATCGCTCAGCCACAAGACGCAGGATGAGGAAGATTAAATGCGTAGACCTTTTCTTTTGGCTTTAACAAGTGGCAAACTTTCAACTGCGCCGGGCAAGCGGCGCCCACACTTGCAGCTGCTGGCGGGCGATGCAGTTGGATAATAGGGTTGCAGGTGACGTGTGCTTGCAAGAGCTTGACGGTCCCCGCGAATGAATCGGAGTGCCCTGGATGAAGGGAATCCGCAGTAGACAGGAACCGTCATGTGCCATCAGCTAAAATAAAGCTGCTATTTGTGTGTCAGCGCTGCTATGCTTCCATTTTGGATCGCGTGAGCCAGCAACATGCTTGAGGCCCCGACGCAGTTGGATTGACCGCTTGGCGCTGTGGTCGTTGCAGCCTAGTTTAGCCAAGCAAATGTCTTTGGTGGGGATTGTTCGAAGTAAAGCAATCGACGGCAATCTTTTCTAAAGCATCAACTCCACCAACCCTTTGCCAAAGCCACGCCATCCTCTGCCAAACGGGCTGAGTGGAAGATTTGTAGACAATAGAAGTTGACAGTGTTGCCTTGGAGGCAACCCTTACCTTGCTTTAAAGGGACATCGACGGAAACAACAAAAACATGTTCGTGTACGCCCACAACCGTTGGCAAAACAGGACGAACAAGCACGGCAAACATACGCGACGCACTGGCCCAGCTTCCCCAACTGGACTTGGCCGAGCCGTGGCACCCCATCAACGTCGCGCCTGGTATGGCATTGGGTTGTGCGCCACGTAGCAAGGCGGCAGCTTCGCAGGCTGGGTGGAGAGCACACTGGGCCTGAGACTTGCCCTTTCTCCCACTAACATGGCACCTGTGCAAGTCAGGTGCCATGTTTGTCGACATGAGGGTACCCAAAGCTGCAATCCCTGACAATGATCTCTGGTGGCGGCAGGGCAAAAGCAAATCTCTGTTCCTAGAATGCCAAGTCTAGTTTCGGTTCGTGAGCTGCCATTTTGAGTAAACTTGCTCGGGCAAACGTTGGAAGAGGCTCGGCCCTTATCCGCTCAGAGTGATCATGATTCCGCAAGATGTGACAAGTCTTAACGTTGGAACCTAGAGCTTACCAACGAAGGGCCACATCAGCTGGCACGGCTGTCACGCACACAGATCGCGCGACCCAACTACGCTGTCATTTGCCGGAAGGTGCAAAGAAAGAGCAAAGTCTTGAGTTGACAAGCCCTAACGTCGACGCATTAGATTGGCATCTTGTGGCTTGGGGTGTCGGCCCTTGTGTTGTTTCCAAGCTAAAAGCTATGGGCGTGTGCGAGCTGACGCTAGCAAGCTCTCATAGAGCTTCTTGTCTGCCCCACGCCACCCCATGCCAGCCCGCCTGCTTAAGGCTTGCAGCAGGAGCCGGCCAAGCACAACAAACATACAAGCAAAGCGGGCCCGTGTTCTCGGACAGATCGACAGCATGAGATACACGGTCGCATCCCCAAAAACAGGCCCAAGGCGGAACCTGCCCGAAACATTAACAAGGAAGCTGGCTCAGGGCTGCCCCAAATCAAGGGTGGCAAAAACGCCATAGCTGTGGCTGTTTGTGAAAACCCAACTTGGTGGATTCACGTTTAGTGGAGTAATTACTCCGGATTGATCCGATAACCAGCAAGCCATGTTTCCCTTGCAGCGACCTTCTGTCACCTTTCATCTCAGGGTCTTTAACCCATTTTAAGGTTCTCTGAGTCTCTGAGTACGGGACTGCATCCGAATGTGACAAACTCTGAACTTGCCCCAAGTGCTTGCTCTGCTGCGGTTGCCATGACAGCTGCTTGTCTTGTTCGCTTCAGGGCTCGCTGATTGATTTGTTAGGTAGGGAATGAGGGAATGACTCCGAATTGACCCATCCTTTTTGGTTTCCTTTCCAAAACGATTCCCTGAACACCCGAAACCAACAAACAGCTTTTATCAATCTGCTGTCGTCCACTTCGCTCTCAATTAAAGGTCCCTTCCAGTGCTAAAGAAGACTTGAAGGAGCAGTTTTGACGGGATTTTTCAGGCTCAACAAAACCAAATACCCTCCAAAGAAGAAACATGGAACCTGCACAGGGGTTCCTGAACAACCAATGCATTCAAGCAGGTTCCGTGGTTGTCTTTGGGAGGGTAATTAAATTTAAGGCCCGTGAAGGATCGCCTCAAGGGTCCAGTTTCTTCACTTCTGAAGCCCTTGAAGCCTTGAAGGCTGAGATTCACTTGGCTCACGACGCTCACGACATGGCCTTCGGCGGTCTCACAATATGAAAGCCCTAGCATTGGTCCCACACCGATTGCCCTTTGGTTTCCGTTTTACGTCGTTTTATATAACGAACAAACAGGGGCGTTGCAAACCGATGAGAAAAACCAAGCCCCCGAAAACGGTGCAATCTCCTTGGCTTTTCGGAACGAGCACGAACGCCACCTGCTCGGTGGGCAGAAATCTTTGGCCAAGGTGCCCGGGCATCGAGGGGAACACAGGCTCAAGCCTGGCGACTTGCCAGAATGGAACATATATGTTTCTGTTGCCACGTTCAAACAACCGGGTTCCGACGGGTGCAAACAACTCATCTTCAGCAAACCGATCGTTTAGAACCCGTTCAACGCCCTGAAGGCTGTGTAGGCCCTTTCGTCCGTTTCGATGGCCAGGCTGGTCAAAAAGCGAGTTGATCATTGGAGGGCCCTTTCGTCGCTAGTCCTGTGTGAGGGACCAGCGGCTAAGATTCAAGTGTCTTTTGTCGGAAAGCTTCAGAAATCGAAGCCCAAAGCCGAGACAACCCCCGTTTCGGGCGTTGCGAACCCAGGCGCTTCGGGCGCGATGTCCGAAACTGAGGTGCACGTGCGCAAGGTCCAAATGACCAACGCATCCAGACCCTCTATTGGCCCTGGAAATCAGGAATCAATAGGCAATGCTTACAGCGGGCCACAGTTTCAGAGGTTCAGCGTCCCGAGTTCTTTCAGCATCGTTCATTGATAGTTGCAATCCAGGACATTTGTGGAATCCTGCTTACCTAGTGGTCCTATAGAACTCGAATGGCATTCTGGTCCATGCATCTGGGCAAAACAAAATCAGCTCACCTTGAGAAAACGACCACAAGAGGAACATTTATGTGATTCATGGTTCCGGCCTTTCTGTCGCGCACTGACAACACTTGCCTCAGTTGCCCAAAGGACCTGGAACTAAAAGGTTAACCTTTTGGGGCCATGACTAAATGTGGACCAAAATGGGAAAACCAAAAGGTCAAAAGGTGGGCTTGAACAACTGAGTTGCCCACATAGCACCTTGTGGCTATGGGAAGGTAACATGGCATCATTGTCTTAGATATTGACATATGCAATTCTAGAGGAGGGTTCAAATTGTGTTTGGTGATGGTGATACTATTTTCTGTTGGGAACGAACAAGTCGGGATTCCCTTAGAGGAAACCATGGGGGAGGGTGAAAAAAGAGTAATTCCCAGCCAACTGGAACCTGGGATCAGCGCGGCTCCCATAACAACTGCCAGGTAGGACCCAAATGGATGTGCTGAGATTCGGATTTCTAGAAAACTTTTAGTCGCAAACAATTTTCTCTGACGGAGACCCCAGAAAGGAGTTGTGCGCTGCTCGTTCAGGACAAGTATAGCATCGCTTCACGCAATGGATGCAACGACAACCTCCGAAGCAGCCTCCGAGGGGACTGCTTTTAACACTTGACCACGTTCCACGGTACTTGCCCGGTGTTTGCCGGAGAGAAAAGGATATAGGCGCAACCCACCGGAGACCAGGAAAGTCACACGCATCATGTCTTTCTGTAGAAAAAAAACAACAAAGTGGTGGTGTCCTTTTGGTTCCCCTTCACACAACCACTTCAAAATCGGGCAAGGTTCAAAAACAAAAAAAAAACATATCTTCGGTGTTCACCCAAACAGGAGAGCCCGCAAGAGCATCGCGAGCCAGTGTACAACTTGAAATTTGCCCAAATCATAAACCGGTGGTTTTGTTTTAGCAGAAGCAGCCTGCCGACCTGAGACGTCTCGCCTGCTTACCACGATAGGCTGGTAGGCATAGGTGGGCCCGTAGCCCATGAAGGCCTCACGAAAAGCTGCTCGATGGAAAACCATACGGGAACAAAACTGACTGAAACAACCCCTCAAGCAACCCCGAAGCTGCTAAACCAGCACACCTAATACAAATCAGCTCCAAACCAACCCAAACCCACTCAAAGTTAACCCCAAACCCGCCCAACAGCTGCCTGGATGTTAGCTTTTCGCCTCGCCTAAATCAACCCCACAACCCCAAGACCCACCCTCATGAAGATGTAAGCCATCCAAAAGCCCCCCTAACATAAACCAGCCCCCAACAAATCCCATCAGGCAACCCCAGGTCCAAGTGATGCTGGTGATGCCGGGGATGTGGCCAGCCAACCAACCACCCGCGAAGCCACAAACCGACCGACCGACCGACAACCCACCCACCCACCCACCCACCCACCCACCAACCAACCAACCAACCAACCGGGGGACCAGCTCTAGTAAAAAAAAACAACATCTGTCGCTTTTGGAGGGTACTACTCTCGAGTCGCTTCAAACGGACATCCTGGAGAAAACCAGCCCTTCTGGGATCCCGGGATCCCCCATGTTGAGACAATCTCATGGCCCATGCTGCTTCCGACTTACCCGAACGTGGTGTCATCTTGCAGGAACCCTGAACTGCTAGAAGGGAAAGCCTCCCTTTCTCAGGCACCTGTGATAATCGATGGAGGTCACGGGGAAAAAAGGAATCTCACAGCAATCTCCTTGCATGGCTGGATCGATCTATGTCTTGCCACTCGCTCGGAGCAACTGTGCTTGTCTCTAAGGGTTGATTCCCCATTCTGTTCAACCATCCTTCTTTTCAACAACCGGCTGTTTCTCCTGGGGTTCTGATGATTTGCTGGAAAGAAGGATCCCTGGAAAGAATGGGGAAGTGCCCCCTATTGTCCGCCGATTTCGCCACGGAAGTCCCACTGAAATCAGAACCTCACGGCTGCGTCCCATCATGTCGAGCCGCCTTCCCTCTAAACCAACCCCAACAAAGGGTACCTGGACCCTAACACATACCATTATGCTGCCCCAACATGATGAGGTGATTCCGCCCTTTTCTGACAGCTAGTTTGAGGGTCCAGGTACCCTTCTCGAGAACTTCACGAACACGAAGAAATCGACCTGCCCTCATCGTTTGTCATCTTTTGGACATGCTTCAGGTTGGTTGAATTTGAAGCAAGCCCAGCCAAAAACCAATGGTCCTTCCCACAAGCCGTGCGTTGGTGGCTGTCTGTCAGGTGCCAAACATGGGGAGCAAAACGGGCCAAGAAGCAAAACGGTAAGCTAAGGCTCACACTATAGGTTGTCTATGCTTGGGAAAAGACATTGTGTCTTTTCCCCTCTTTTTTTTCCGGTTTCCCCTTCAACACAGACACACACCCACACACATACACACACAACGGGGGAGTAGCCTCAAAAAAGGCACAAGTCCAGCAGGGCACTGGGAGCAAAAATATGCGTCTGCGATCGAATCTGGTCTGCGTCCAGGGCACAGACTCCTCTCCGCAGATCATGCTCGGCTTCTCGCTCACTTTAAATCCCCAGAGCTGAGCCAAACTGCCTCGAAACCAAAACTTAAAACGCCTAAATGTCCGCCGAGCTGAGACCCAAACGACCCAACGACCCACGCAAACAGAATCAGCCGGTGGGGTGCAGCATCAACCTATCAGTTGCAAAGTGCGGAATTGCGCGGGTTGCACGACGGAGGACTCTCACAGAAAACGTATCTCACCCAAAGCGCATCGAACCGGATGAGACCTTCTGGTGTTGTCTTGCTAGTTTAGGAAACTGAGGGTAGGATTGGGGAGAAGCACAAGCAGAAACAACAGAAACAACCGGGCTGAAATCAGATGTCTATCCGCGCATGCATGTGCAGGCAAACTAACCTCGATCTGGGGCGAACCCGAGCGAGAAGTCAATGCCTTCAACAAAGGGTATTCCTCCATCTCGTTTCAGGTCCGCAGAAAAGGATAGAGCCTCTGAAAGGAAGACTGGCTGGAACGTTTGTTCTTGTGCAAAGCACAGCAAAGCAACAACAAGCTGAATACACACAAAAAGGCGACACAGAGATAAGCGACACAGAAATAAAAGCGTAGTGCTATATCAACACTCACTTGCACCTAAGTCCCCCCTATCAATTAGGTAGAGGAAAACATACTTAAAAGGGTCCGAGGGATCCCTGTCTCTTTTAGCCAAGGGCAATGTGCTGCTGGCAGCTGGAATACAAATGCAACTTTCCTTGTGGAGCATAGCAGTTGAACACGGGAAGTGTTGAAAGTGCATACTAAGGGCTGTCAGAAACTTAGTATTGGTTAGGATTGGGTCGACTAAAAGCCAAGGGGGCGATCTGACTTGTTTGACTTTGTCCTGAAACATATTAGTTGAATCAAAAGGCTGAGGGAACACCTATGGGACAAAGACCTCCAGACCTGACTCAAGCACCCCTAGGACTGCCTGAGGTTAGCCTTTGCCATGTGCAATCTGCACCCGAGTTGCAAGGGGGATCAAGCCGCACCTCCAAAAAAGGGGCACCGAAAAAATGTGCTTCGGCATTCAAGAAAGCGCACGGCTTCAAGACCAGTTCTACCTTAAGGGGAGAGGGCCCCCAACTCCGCACATCCAGTCTTCGCACAGACCAATCCATATTTGGGAGACTCCATACATTGTCATGTCCACAATCCAGTATGTCGGGAACTGGACACTGGAAGGGGGGTAAGAGACTGGCAGGGGGGTAAACTTATGGAACTCGGGGAATCCGAGTTCCGAGTCGACTCCCTGGAGCTTCAAGATGCCCACCTGGCGGATGCTGACATTGGTCTCGATGGCTTCCTTGCTCGAAAACTCGGAACTGATGCAGCCCATGCTTGTCCCAGGGGCGAATGGCACTTAGTGCCTAATGTCTAGGGCCCATTCTGGGCAGATTCCCTGAACCCTCACAAAATCAGACCCATTTCTTGGATCCCTGTCAGTGGCAGGGTATCCACCTATCTGTTGCGATGTTTGCACTTCTCATGCTCTTTCTGGCGATCTTTGGGCGGGGAAAACAAGCTCTGATATAGGTTCGCTTCTCGGGGATTCCTTGTTTCGGCCCGGAAGTGCTAAACGCTTCAAAGAGCCCCCGCTGAAATACCCAATGTGGACACATACCCAATGTCCCCCCGAGGTGTCAATAAAACCTTTGGAGGGACCCCAATGAGCCGGCGATCACCGAGCCAGCGGCGTCCAACTGCTGCTTGGCCCGCGCTTGCGTCTGCCTCAACCAACTCGATTCGTCCAGCGTGTGTCGCCTTTACCTTTTGAGGGCACCCCTTTTCTTTCGGAAAAGGGAAATCAACCGGGAAACCGCCATTTTTGGGAGCCAAAACAAAGACAGGGATTCAAAGGCCTCTTGAGGCCTGGGGTGTCGAAACCTCGAGATCTCGTCTGCCTGTACGTGTCACCAGTAACCGATACCCACGCACCTCTGAACTCGAGATCCGATGCAGTTAGAATACTATTGTCTGAGGTGCAGGGTGGTTGATCTCATAGGTGGGATGCGACCCCCAAGGACACCTAGTTATAACCCTTGGCTTCCTTGTCTTGAGCTTTTGAATCCCCCTCCAACAGCACCACATCCTCCCAGAATCCTTGCGGAACTCCCCGGGACCCACCTCACCGCCGGTTTTGCTGAGGATGCCGCCCTGTAACTTTATAAAGCAAAGCTAAGAGAGACAGCGCAATCGCGCCCTGATCAGGGCCCGACGGCGCAATCGGGGCCCGATCGGGGTCCGACGGTGCAATGGACCCAAGCGGGGCCCGACGATGGTCCCAACCCCAGCCACCCATATTATAGATCAACGCCGGTTTGTCATAGGATGCGGCCTTACAACTGTATCTAGCAAAACTAGGCGATGCCAGCTTGGGGCCCGATCGGCCCCGACGGCGCAATCGGGTCCCAACGGTGCAAACGGCCCCGACCTGGGCCCGGTGAACCTTGCAAACCGTCCTCGTGGAACCCTCGCGTAACTCAGCTTGAAACTCTTTCCTCAGGGCTGCCCCATGCTTTTGCAGAGCCTGGAAGAAACCTCGTGGAGCGCTTTTGGAACCTTACCCCATAGCCCTCGCAGCCTCGTGGAACGCTTGGAACCCAAACCCCGCCAAGTAATACTCAGTAATGCCAAGCATTTACTCTGCTGTACAGTAAGTCCCGCAGCAACGAGCCAACATTTCGGGCCGCGTTGTCTGAGCAAGTGAGCAAGTGTCAAAACAGTGAAAGTGTGCTGAAAACCATTGATTTCGGCTTTGCTTGGTGCAGAGCGATCTTCTGAGCCCTCAATTTACTGCTCCGCGGCGGGCGCACGACACATTGCTTCCCTCCAGAGCAAACCACGGAACCTTGCAGAACAAAATTGGAACCTTGTGGAATCTTGTGGAACCCTTGTGGAGTCCTTGCGGAACTCTGTGGGAACTCTGTGGAATTCTGTGGAACCATACCTCAGGGCCGCCCCGGACCATCCCACAGCCCTCGCAGAACCTCGTGCAACCCTGGCCAAACCCTGGTGGAACTCTCCTCCACGCCGCAGTGGAACCCTGCTAGAACCCTTGTAGAACGTTCATGGAACCGTACCTCGCACGCAGAACCTGGAGCCCTGGTGGAACACTCATGGAACTTTACCTCAAACCACCCCGGCCCTCGCAGAACCTGTTGGAACCCTGGTGGAACCTTACCTCAGGGCCGCCCGGACCACCCCGGAGCCTATCTGGGCTGAGACCCCAAAGCTTTCAGCTGTTGGGGAAAAAAGGAAACAGAAACCAAGAGGAAGCCACTCCCGCAGCTCTTTGGGTTCGAAGAAAAAGCAAACAGGTGTTTTGCCAAACGAGATCCGCTCTTACTATCTGCGTCGTTTCTTTGGTTCAACTACTTGATGGGCTCCGTTTTGAAATAACACAAGATGCATGAGCCCTCGATGAAACGTGAAACATCTATCAAGACTTGTTGCGCTTTTCAAGCTATCAACTACATCCGCTTTGGCCATGGTCAACAAGCCTACAGTGGATTTTCAAGGGAACAAGCGGGCAGCGCTGTGGTCCCCCCCCACATCCTCGAATAAATGGGACAAAACCGGGAAGCACATTTTCAGTAGAGGTCTCGGGTCTCAATAGGAAAAATCACGCCAAAACTGAGAGTCAACCACACCAAATCCAGGCGGGATCAAAGTCGATTCCCTACTGGTGCTCGCCAGGGAGTTCTTGTATCCGCTCAATCCACCAAACAAAAGACCAGTGCTTCTTTTTGGAAACCCAAGCATGGGTTCGGCTCAATCGCCGTGATTGAATTTCCATGAGCAAACAAACAGAGGGCGATTTTGCAGGGTGTTTCCCTCCAAAAAAGATCAATTGCAACCTGGGAGCCCATTGTTTGGGGGCAGTAATTCCAGTGGAACCCTCCCATGTTGGAGGAACCATGTTGGTAATTTTTCAACGGGATGATTTTCGTCCCAGAAAAATATATTTAAAAAAACGCCGCCCCTCTCACCCCCACCGGGTTCCGGGGCCCCGGGCCAGCCCCAGACGTTGCCCGGGGGCAGCGCCAGCTGGGCGATCTGACGCCCGTAGTCTGGGCGCCCAGGAGGGAGCTCCACCTGAGCTTTCGTCTTCTTCTCCTTTTTTCCCCCGAGCATCCACTTGCTTACCCCTTAAAACTCCAAGCATTGGGGAAGCTAATCTTTTACAGACATATAGCCCATGTTACCCAAAAGTTGAAAAGTTGTGTTTTTGAGAGGTAAGCTTGGAAACCATTGAAACCATAACCTTTGTTGGTACTTGCGGTAAAAAACCATCAGAAACCAGGGGTTCTTAGGAGACCAGAAGGTTTGTTGGTAGGGGAATCGAATCATTCCAGGGTTTCTTGGGTGCTGCAGGATGTCGTCCATCCACAGTATCATGCACCCTCAAACCCTTCAAACTTCCCCCCCCCCCCAATGTTTGTGTTGCAACAACCAGGCCTTTTTTTGGTGTGTGGTCCAGGCAGTCAAAGATCTCTGTGCTGGTTTGTGTGGCGCTGAGGGCGCTGACTTGACTTTAACGGCATTTGACTCAACGCTTAGGTTCAGGTGGTTGACCTCAAAGGTACCCGTTTCGGCATACGAACAATGTTGTTATTCACCATCTTCAGGTCCTGAACCCCAAGACCTCAACGGCGGTATTTCGGCCTTTATGCTTGAGCTTCAAGTGACACCCCACTGAAGGTCTCTGGCCTTTCGCTTAAAATCCGCAAACCTCCCCAACCAAAGGAAACACAGGTGTTCAAAAACGAAAGGTTGAACAAAATGGGGAATCAACCCCTAGATCCGTACATGTCACAATTTCATGTGCCATGAAAGCTTCTGTTGGCCATGGTATGCCATGCCCGGCGCCCCGTGTGGCTGCTTGGGTTTGTTTGGTCAAACCCGCCGTAGTTGGCCATACTTGCCCGTTTGTCTTCCGCTCATTTTCCCCTACGACCCTTAAACCAAAAACAAAAACGTATGTTGCTCATTTTTTGCGTTCAAAAGGCGTACGCCGTATGACCCAAAAACAAACTG